ATTATCCTATGGTTTGAGACTGTGAAGCTAGTCTCGTCTCTAACTCACCTAAAGCATACTTAAGTAATATGCATTATAATAAGGGCAAATTGCCTTTCTGAAACGGTAGGAACCTGTACTGTGTTTTAGGCAGCAATATAGCTTAGTTATCTTCTAACTGCTCAGTAATGTTCACTTTCTCTTTCACCAACTCTTCGACAAGTCCTTCTACTCTACGTGCTGAAGATGCCCCGTAACAGATACTATGGAAGGAGCAGGGGGGGGGGGGGCAAGGCAACAAGTTTGATGAGGCAAATAACGGCGCTTTTGCTGCCCAGTGGCTATGTCGACTTGTTGATGCTAACAATATACTGTCCACAACAATCTATACACCTCTATTCGTGTGATTATGCTTCTGTATCGCTGAGTAGTTTCTGGCAAAAACACCACATGATTTTGGAGAGAGAGAGCACGAACTACAGATAAAGGTGTGGATTTTACACAAGATGCTCCAAAAATACAGAGCATGGCACGTAACTACAGAAACAAATGACGGTGTACAGAACACAGAGCGTATACTACAGACGAGTAGTGTGTTAATACAGGTATGACATGCTTCGTACAGACTCCATTAATGAGAAACCGTGAATTTTTAATAGCAATGCAATGTTGCAACCTTATTATAGATTTTTCTGGTCTTCACTCCTTTTCAGCATTCTAAAACCACCACTGTCAGCAGCATGCGGCACAAGTACACGTGGAGCCTCACTCTCACCTGTCACTCACGAACTCCGTCACTGGCCGGCATGAGTGATTCAGGAACCGCATGAGACCACCCAAGTCTTCGGCGTTGATGGCCACGCAAACCGGATACGACGGCTTTTCGGGACGTTGCTTCATCACGAGACGGTAGCCTACGTTGCGGGGTCGGTCCGCTCACGACACACTAACGTGCTCCATCAACCCCAGGTACTGGCCGAGCACCTCGCCGGCTCGAATGTCTTCGCCGGCGACAACGCATAGGCGGCCGGTGCGGCGATTGCGCCCCAGAAAGACCTTGCTTGACTCTTC